CAGCACTATAACCAGAACAATGGTAGTCAAGAGGGAGAAGTCGGTCAAGATTTCAAGGAGATATCTCTTGCTGGAATTTCAACAAGGGTCATCTGAAAAGAGATTGTCGATTACCACGAAGGAGGAAGAACTAACATCAGGAAGAGGAGTTGAAGAATACAGCAGCAAGTGAGACTCATGATGCTCTTATTCTGAGTGTTGATAGTCCTATTAAGTCTTGGATTCTAGAGTCTGGTGTATCATTTCACTCAACTCCCTGCAAAGACTTAATGCAAAATTATGTTGTAGGTAACTTCACAAAGGTTTATCTTGCCGATGATGAACCTTTGAATATCATGGGGAAGGGTGGTGTTCATATAAAGACAGCTAACGAAACTCTATGGAAGCTGCAGAATGTCAGATATGTTCTGTTTCTAAAAAGGAATTTGATCTCTATGAGTCAATGGGATGACAGAGGATACACGATAATTCATAGGGGAATCACGGAAGAATACCAAAGGTGCTATGGTGATAGCACGAGGCACAATGATGGGACCTTGTACATGATGCAGATAACAAGGACAGGATAGCGGTGACTAATTGTGGTGATTCAAAGCTGTGGCACAATAAGTTAGGGCATATGAATGAGAAAGGGATGAAGTTGCTAGCATCAAAGGAAGACTGCCTAATCTGAAATCCATGTATGTCGGTCTATGTGATTGTGTTTAAGGAAAGCATAAAAGCGTCAGCTTCCCAATGGCTGGAAGAACACCAAAGGTGCAAAACTTGGAGACGTTGCATACAGATATATGAAGGCTAATCCTTATGCAGTCCCTTGGAGGCTCACGCTATTATGTCACCTTCATCAACAACTCCACTAGAAAGGTATGGGTTTATTTTTCTGAAAAAATATCTGATGTGTTTGCTACTTTTAAAAGGTGGAAGGTTGAAGCGAAAAACCAAACTGGTTTGAAGATCCTAGTGCCTGAGGTACCACAATGGCGGGGAGTATGACAGGAGCTCAAGACATTCTGTACAGATAGTGAGATTCCCATGATAAGGTTGGTTCCTGGAACTCCAGAGCAGAATGGGATTGCTGAGCAGATGAACAGAACTTTGAACGAGTGAGCAAGGAGCATGAGGCTACATGTTGGATTTCATAAGACATTCTGGGTAGATGTAGTCAACACAGCTACTTACTTGATAACTCAATGACCTTCTGTTACTTTGAGTTTCAAGATATCAGAGGAGTGGACAAGAAATAAGGTAAATCTATCACATTTGAGAGTTTTTATTTGTGTTTCATATGTACACAGTTTCTGAAGATATAGATAAACTTTATTCCAAGGCTATAAAATATTTTCTTATTGGTTATGGTTCTAACAATTTTGACTATCGATTTTGGGATGAACAAAATGAGAAAATCATAAGGCACAGGGATGTTATATTTAAGGTTTTAAATATCGAATATCGAAGAAATGTTGGATGGCCAAAATTCATATGGGATTGCAGATATCGGGGAAATATCGGGGATGTGGTAAATATCAAAATGACAAAACAGATGTTTGCATATATAGTATAATTACTAAAATGTAATCTCAACATACTTATTAAAATATAAGTATATGAAATGTAAATAATATATGTTTAGGATCACTAATCAACCATATAAAACAAACGAAAGTACAAATCAACATTGCTACATATCGTCAGGTTTTTTAGGTCAAAATGTCATTTGATATAATGGGAAACATGATATATTGCCCAAAAATTGCCAAATGAGGTATATTGTTTTGTGACAAGTCATATAAAAGGATATATCGGCCAACATATTGGCTGATATATCGGCTACATTAAGGATATAACGCCCAAAATATCCAAAATGCGTTAAAGGATATTTAGAAATCATATCGGTTGCGAAAAACCTTGTAAAAGGATATATCAGGCGATATATCGGGTCACGTTAGAGATATTTAAAACAATGGTTATATTCAGCAAAAATATAACGTACAAAGATAGATTTAAGTAGGATTAGAGATCTATGAGATTGATGTAGCTAAGAGGGTTCAAGAAAATCCTAAAAATAGAGATGCAGAAACAGAGCTAACTACGCCTAAGCCTACATTAAGAAGATCCAGCAGGGTATCAAAACCCATATAGCGGTACTCTCCTTTGCATTGCAACGGTACTCTCTTTTGCATTATTTACATTTGACTGATGCTAGAGAAACAGAATATTTTGATTAAGCAGTGCAAATGAAAGATTCTATCAAGTGTGAGTCAATAATAAAAGATGAGAAGGACTCCCTAGAGAAGGAAAAAAGAACATGGGTGTTAACACGGTTGCCATAAGGCAGGCATTGCAGAACAAGTGTGTGTCCATGTGAAAGAAGAGCATGATGGCAGGAAGAGGTACAAGGCAAGGTTAGCAATGAAGGGCTTCCAACAGAAGAGAGATATTGATTATATAGAGATTTGCTCCTTTGTTGTCAAGTTAACTACTATCAGATTCGTATTGAGCATTGTTGTTGCGAAGGACTTGCATTTAGAGCAATTAGAGTGAAAACTTCTTTCCTACATTGTGAACCAGAAGAGGACATCTACATGCGACAGCTGGAAGGTTTTTAAGTTTCTGGCAAAGAAAACCTTGTGTGCAAGTTGGAGAATAGTTTGTATAGCTTGAAACAGGATCCATGGCAATGGAACAACAAATTTGATGGATCCCTGTGTGACAATGGTTTAACGAGATGCTAGATGGACAATTGTTGTTTTAAGAAACTTGATGACTGGTATATTATTTTGCTTTTGTACGTGGATTAACAAGCTGAAACAACAATTGGCAAAGGAATTTGAGATGAAAGACTTGGAAGCAGCAAAGCAGTTATTTGGGATGAGGATCACAAGAGAGATTAGAAGGAACTCTAAATTGTCCCAGGAAAAATACATAGAAATGGTGCTAATTAGGTTCAATCTACATGATGCAAAGGCAAGAAGCATTCCTTTGGCAAATTACTTCAAGCTTTCCAAGAAGCATTTATCAGAGACAAATGAGGACCAATAATTCATATCCAAAGTACCTTATGCATTAGCAATTAGCAGTTTGATATATGCTACGATGTGTATTAATTCGGATATATATTATTTAGTGAAAGCTGTGAGCAGATATCATAGCAAATGCAAGAAAGATGCATTGAGAAGCTGTAAAGTGGCTCCTACAATATCTGAAAGGCAACTCAGGAACAACACTTTGTTTCCAGAAGAATGATGTGATTTTATAAGGTTACTCTGATGCAGATTTGCGTGGTGATGTGGGTAGTCGGTAAAGTACTACATGTCATGTTTTCTCTTTGGGTGGTACTGCGAAGAGTTGGATGTCTCAACTTCAGAAGAGTGTTTCACTCTTAACCACTATAACGGAATCTATGGTTGTCTCTGAATCAGAAAAACAGATAATATGGTTGGAGAATTTTCTGAAGGAATTAGGCAAGAGGTAAGAAAGCAGTTTTCTTTTCAATGACAGCAGAGTGGTATTTATCTTGCAAAGAATCCACTGTATCATGCAAGCATATTCGGGTGAGGTAACATCGTATTCATGGGTTGATAGAAGATGGAAAACTATCAGTGGATAAGATTCTTAGGTCAAAGAATCCAACAGCATGCTGACGAAGGTTGTCACCACTAAGAAATTGAGGCTATCCATGGCCTTAGTTGGCCTCCATGGTTAGCGATGAGTAATCATGGTACTATGAGTATTTTGAATTCTAGAAAGGAATGAATTATGAGAGTTTGCTATTGTTCTAATGATCAGCCACCAAGTGGAAGATTGTTGGAGATGTGGTGTTTGATAAGATTGTACAAGCTGACCCCACGATTCGCGAATACAACTCTACATGTAGAAGGGTAAATATGAAATTTTACATGTATTGTGGCCCTAGTGATGCAAGACGATCGTGGACCCTCCATGTGTGAAATTAAGACATATTAGAATCTTTACATTTTTGGTAGGGTTTTATTTTATATGTAATTTTCCTTTTTAGCTAGAATTTGTTTAGGATTTAATTTTGAAATCTCTTTCTACTTTAGTTAGGATTTTATTTAATTACATCTTTTAGTTTTAGTAGGTTTGAATTTGATTAGGATTTTGATTTGCTTCATTAATTATTTTGATGCTTTCTTTTCTATAAATAAGAGATGTAATCTCTCATGATGAATAGACATTGATTAGTAAAAGCATTCAGTTATGAGAATTCTCTTTTGAGCATATGAGGTGTTCTTGGCATGTGGCTTGCCTCTTTGGGGTGCGAAGTCGTTGGATGTAAGGCCCCTAGGTGTGAAGCTTGGCTAGTTATCAAATCTCTTCTCGTCACAAATCCCAACACCCACCCATCATTACGCCTAGCCGTCAACGATTTCTAGCCTCAAAACTGAAGCCGTCCACCCGCTCCTCATCACCTAGTGTGTGTGTGTGTGTGTATATATGCGCTCTTTACTGTAACTTTATCAGAAAGTAAATAACCCTAGTGTGCAGTCGTGGATAGAGGTGGAAGTAGATATTCGATTCCAATTCAGCTCAGTTTGACATGCTCGAATTTGAGTTCGAATTGGTTTCAAATAAGAAAGTCATATTCGAATTCAATTCTGGTTTAATTTTATATATTCAGTATTTGCGAACATTTGTTTAGTGCACTTGGTAAGTCATGAAGTTGTGGAAAAGCAGGTCTTTGCTCTGATTCCAGCCTGGGATATTTTTTCTTATGTTTAATTTTGTAGTAAAAGTGATTTTTGTAATTCTATTTTGGTTAAATAAAACAAATATTCAAACTATAAACATGGATATTTGTAGCACTGTTGTTTGAGGCACTTGTTTATTTGTTCTAGAGTGTTGACTTCGAATGTTTTGTTGGTAATTTATTTGCTTTGTTTCATTTTTACATTTTATTTAACCATTTAATGATTATCATGATATTTCACAACTAAAATTAATATACTCGTATGTTTATACATAAATCAATACTAATATTTACAAATATTATATAACATAAAAAAATAAGTATAACTTAAAAGTAGGAAAAGCACCTTTTACAGATTTCTACATGAATTCATTTTTCAGTTACCTTGTTTTAGCATTTAAACCTTCATCATTACTTTTAATCTAAATCAATATATTTTAATTCAAGAAAATGCTAATCTACATTTAAATAAACTTATAAACATAATCTCATTAAAATTGGAATCAGAATTTATTTCTACTAGATGTTTTTTATGATATATGTGAAAATGATAAATATCTCAAGTCCGACTTTATAGTATTAACATTTTACATTAAATTAAATTTAGATGAATAAAATGTAAAACATAAATGAATATTTCATAATCAACGAATCGGATATAGCCCTATTTTAATTCTATTCGTTTATTAACCAAATACTACAAAAATTGTTTACTGTTATATGAACTATTAGATCGAATATAACTGAATATCTGGACGAATAATAACCGAACTATTTATTAATTATTTGGTTCATTTCCACCCCTAGCCATGAACATAGGCAAATTGTCGGACACATAAAATTCTCTATCTTCTGTGATTGCGTTTTCTATCTTTCTTATTTTCTCTCTCGCTTGTAGGAGTTTATATTCCAAACAATGTCCTTTAGTTTGGATGTTTCACATGCATCAAATACCAATGGTATGACTTTAGGCTTGACACCCAAGTTACATGTCCAGGCAATGCCTGAATTCAGTATTTTACTATGGCAACTATTTGCAGAATCAATGATGGATTCGATTTTCAGAAATTTAATTTGTTCCTATAACCAAAAGATCTAACTAGCATAGAACAATTTACATAACCTAGTTAAGTTAGCAATCAACAAGTTCTTAATACATTGTGGTCAAAGAACCATTTAGTAAAAATAATAATAATAATAACCACCAGGAGCATGTCCTAATTTAGCATGAAAATGGGTCTATGAGCCATAATCCATGTGAAAAGAGCTCCACGGCCATATATAGACCAAACTTTATCAGTTCTCTGAATTGCTGGCATAATATGGGACAAGAAAACTATGGAGTATAAAGCATGGATAACAGAAGGGCTTGGCACGTAACTTATCAAATGAATTGAGAGGTAAAAAAGCATGAACCTGCTTATCAGTAGTACTGTTAATTCCACAATCGTTCAAAATTCTTCTAGGTGAGAAAGGTTGTACAATACAGGTGAAGCCAATAACGCGTAATAAAAGATGGCATTGCATTAGATTTGGTCATTTAAGCAAACAAAATATAGTTCTGTTTGAATGTCAGTATTTAAAGATTTTATGAGCAATAGTCGGAATGTTAAGGGGCCCGTATATTGTCAACTTCTAAAAAAAGCATCAGGTATTTTGAGATTCTCAAAAAATAAATAAATAAATTGCATCAATTCCATCCCCAATTCATCACCGTACGGATAAGGAAAAGAGAACTCCTATCTTACCTGCTTGAGTGCATAATACAACATCTTCATGCTACTCTAAATTGAAGTCTTTTCCTAATTTCAACCAGCTTGACTCACAGTTTTGTTAGTTTCTTGAATGCTACTTCAGTTATTACATTCGAAAAAGTAAATGTTTAATTAAAGCATTTTCATCCACATCACCAGCTCCAAAACAGTTTAAAAATCAAGATGAAGTCATATAAATTATGCATAAGAATTGTATCAAATAAAAGCTTTTTTTTTTGTGCTTGTAATCTGAAAGTGGTTACTAAAGCATCTACTTGTGCAAAAAGCTTATAAAAAGAAACAGTTGTTTGCATTAGCAATTGATTCAATTGTTGAAGTGGTCTTCCATCTATAGACCAAAAAAATTTATTGAAAACCAGAAAAATAAAGTATGCTTCCAAAACTGAAGTACTGTTGTATACGAAATTCATCAGTATGTTCATTGTACTTACGCAATTCCTTGAGCAAGAGTTGTAGCAACTCGCATTCTCATGGCCCAATCCAAGCTCCTACCTCCCCTAGGAATTTGGTACAGCCATCTATCCAAAGGCCCATTAGCAACAAACTCATAAACAATGAAACGATCACCATGTCTATAACAGCAACCTTTAACAGCAACTAAATTAGGATGATGAAGCTTTGCAACCCTCCCAACCTCAGAGTAGAACTCCTTTTTCCTTTGAAGGCTAGATCTCTTTAGCCTCTTAACCGCCACCCTTGTTCCATCTGGCAAGATTCCACTATAAGTTCCACCAGTCTTAGCATCTCCAATAAGTCTATTTCCTTCACTAAAATTCTTCGTAATTGACCTCAGTTCCTCACTACTGAAAACTTTCCATGAGGGAGGAACTAATGCAGCTGCTGAAGGACTAGAGACCTTTCGTGATTTTCTCCGTTTCTTGCTTCGTCTATACACAAGAAGCCAGACAACAACAGCCAGAGTAGTGGCGAGAATTAATCCGCTCACAACGGCAAGAATGATGGAATACTCATCATGGCAGTGTCCATGGGGGCATTTCTTCTCTGAAACAGAATGAACTTATCAATATTGGAAACAAAAACATAAATAATTGGGCCATTTCATACCTTTATTTTGCATGCATATAAGCCCGTGAGAGGCATTGCATCTTTCACCAACAAGTGAATTGCGACCATTAGCTACCAAAGTACATGAATTTGCTAAGCTGGGACTCTTGCAAGAAGGATTAGAACAGTTGGCTTGAAAGGGTTCTCCAGGGAAAACTGTCTTGTTCCAGTGAGACGTATTGTCTGACCATTTCCAAGAAAAGCCAAGAGAAGAATTGTAACCTCGTCCACCAACCCAGCATCCATTTTTTCCACCCACACATAAAGCCCCTGCAAAATTTAACTCTTGGGCTGATGTAAGAGCAGCTAAATGTCCATTGTTATCCTGACAAAGTGACTCTGACTTATCCCACGAAAGGGAATCTCCAATGTATTTGAAGCATTTATCCTTGTTGGGGCCAATTTTCCAATCAGCAGGGCATGATGCTGTTATAAGGAAAACAATAATATTGTCAATAAAGAAAACTAATTTGCACACAAATGGACTTGTTATAGCGTGTAACATGTTGCCTAGCAATATAATGGATATTTTGCAGCTAAATGGAATGGTGACTTAGAGATTAAATACTAGTGTCCAATTTTTCAATTCATAATCCAGTTTGCCCTTCTCTATTTCCAGTGTGAAGAACCAACTGTCCGAGTGTAGATCATCAATTACAAAATACTAAGGAAAATATTCATCCATGATTAGACTAGAGTCCTTATTTTTCTTTGGGAGACGGCATAGGAAATCTAGGGTTTCACCTTCGTGATCTCGAAAATATTCTACACATTCTATC